TCCTTTTTGGTCCTTCCTATGGATCAATCCTGCCCATCACCTTTGCCTTTCACTATTTTTCAGTTCCGTTGGGAAGGGAAACAGTTTGAACGGAGGTTTGAGTCACACACATCTGATTCACTTTTGCATTTATGGAGTTCGCAAACAAATTTCTCGAGTCGTTTTCCGTTGTTAGGATCCAACAACCACACAATTACAATGTCCCAATCCCCTAAAACTAAAATATAACAATATCAGAACCAGAAACAAAAGTGATATGGTTCAAAAGACTTGAAAAGATTAACATCCCACTGGGAAAACAAATATGGAGGTTTGATGTTCACTTTTTTCGGAAAATCCTTCCCAGTATGCATTGTGCAATGACTGGAAGTCCGAAAGTCTTGATGCATCTATTATACAACTAAGTGATAGTTTTGTGACCTGATATTACGCCACACACACCTGTATTAGTCACTGGATGAAGGAAGACGCCAAACAGCCAGCCCACCCACGAGCCGGCGTGGCGGGCGGTACACAAACACCGCAGCAACATAGGCCCATGGCAGCAAGCACTCAATAAAAGTGAGTAATCAACACTACAGACCTTACTGAATTTTTGACTTAACACTGAATCTGGAACACCAGCTGAGAGCGGTGAACCAGCCGTGTCAACTACAGGAAACAAAGTAAGAGCAACGGAAAGGGAGCACTTTTATAGATTGACTGATGTCTCCACTAACCAATAATTAGACTGCACCCAAGTGCCAGAGCCCGTCTGCCGTTTGTTCACCGCTATAATGTCACACCAGGAAAGATCTCTAGATTACTCAAACATGCATGGATGGCATTTAAAACCTCTTCAGACATGTTTTTGATGAGGAAACGTTGGTTTTGCGTAATACCCCCTCTTTGAAGTAAAAAGATACTGCAACAACAAAAAAAAAAGAAAGTTATCAGAGTACAACCTAAATGTCTATACAAAAAAATCTCTCTATACTTGTATGATAATTCAGTTGGAGCAGTTTGATGGATATTCATGCAGTAGTTGTTATTGTCCACACAGAGGATCAGGTATCCTGCACTTGTGTCTGTTGGTCAAACATTAACTCTGAGCCACCATAAAACATAAGGCACTCATTCATCACGCGCACTTCCTCTTTAAGGCAGCGCTTTGCCTTTAACTGGGACTTTCTCTTGGGAAAGTCGCTGAGTCGGGGCTTGTTAATGTGGACACACCATTTTGAAGTACACAAGGAAAAGTGATTGTCATTTAAAGGTCCTACGCTAACGTCATATATTACACCTTATACAACAGTGATGTGTTTCAAAGATGAGAATAAGTTTATAAAGGTGGATAATAATAGGATGAACTTTAAAAATGCAGAGGAGCACTTATGAAGGGTTATTGAAACATGTGAGGATAAAACAAAACACAACTCAAGCTGTTTCAGTGAGGGACATAGTAAGAACATGTCCACACACACGGGACCTTTACTGTGTTTTAAAACATACTGGACACAACTGGTCAAACGCCTGGACACATCTTTTCATTCATGTTTCTTCTTTGATTCTTTAAACTATAGATTCTCACTGAAGCAGCACAGCTGTGTATGACACATGTTGAATGTAGGGAACAAAAAATAAATCATAACAAATAAGACGATATAACTCAAAACTTAGCCACCCTTTGCTTTAATCACTGCTTTGCAATTTAGCATTTCTTGACCATGAGGCACAGCTGTAAAATGAAAACCATTTCAGGGACTTCATCATGAAGCTCACTGAGAGAAAGCCAAGGGTTTGCAGCTGTGACCAAGCAAAGGGTGAATACTGTGAGCAACCTAAGTCTAAAAGTAAACAAAGAAAGAAATAAACAAAGAAAAAAAACATGAATGAGCAGTGTGTCCAAACATTTGACTGGTATCTATTTTATATTGAAATCCTCAAAGTATCCACCTTTTGCTTTGTCAACAACAACAAACCCTGAGCCTTCTCTCAATAACTGGTGTCTCAGGGTTTCAGGGTCAAGAAATGACAAGAATGAAAAGCAGTGACCAAAGCAAAGGGTAAAAGCGGTTTTGAAATATCTAAATGTGGCCATAGCGACCTGTCAAAGCCTGATTCTGTCAGATCTCTGAAGCTCAGCAGGATCAGGCCTGGTCAGGACTTGGATGGGAGTGGACTTGTTTACTGTGTGTCTTATGGGTTGAGTCAGGGACTTCCGTGTGGGGGACGCTCATGAGATAAGACTACGATGAGCAAACATTTTCAAACAGAAATAGATCAACGATAGATCAAATCATTCAAATGCATCTCAAATCTAACGTGTGTGGTCAAAATGCACAAAGTTATTTTAAATCAGACCTATTCTGCAAACTGGACTTTTCACAACCATGTTACATTTTTTTTTTTTTTCTCATTGACCTTATGAAGTTGCATTTGGAGTGATTCATGCATGTTTGAGTCATCTTTTATTTCAAGATGGAAGTCAGCGGTTTCTTTTATTGTTGTTTATGTTGTTTTAGATTAATATTGTGATTTTAAATGTGCAAATTCTAACAGAATGATCCTCAGGTGTCACAGATTATACGTACAGAGCTGACAAACGCACAATATGTCTTCTTTAACAATTCTACAATGATCACATAGTCACATTTAACACTGTTCCTCTTATTCATACAACACAGACACTGGAGGAAAAGCAGCTTAAAAGTGTCTTGCCCAGTGACACAGTAACTTGCGATTGAACTGCCAAGATCAGACAACACCAGCTCAAGACTTCCTCACAACTCCACAGTCATTAACCTGAGCCACCACAGCGTTCATTCATACAACAGCTCACACAACGGTGGTGTACAAGTGTCTTGCCCAAGGACAGATCTGAAATTTAAGTGTGGAAGTGCAACCATCAACCTTCTTGTTCATGGGTGTTCAGCTCCTCTGCCTGAGCCACTAGATGTGATAATGGTGTTTATGTTTTTATTATTTGGACAGATTTACTATCAGCGCTGTGTAGTACTCAGTTACCTCTACTTCAGTTACTTTTTAAAGAAATTGTACCTTTTAGAAAACTTTTCCAGTGGCATACTTCTACTCCTACTTTATTTTACTCTTTACGTTTCTCTTAGAGTGGATGTTTCGTGCAAACTTTTTTTTTTTTTAAAGTGTAACTTTTAAATAACTTTTAGCTGAGGGATTAACTTACATAACATGAGACACTGTTCCAAATACTACTACTGCTATTACTACTACACACATAAAAGTAAAAAAGTATTGTTTAGAAGTAACTTTTTTCCAGTTTATCCTTTCATCACCTCATTCTTCATTATTTTCACATGTAAAACAAAGTGATCTCAAAAGCAGCTCTTCTTTAACTCATTCAGAACACAACAGTCTTAAATGATTTTTCTTACCATGTTGCAGAGTGGTTAACAGCGTCCCATGTCCGAGAGAGCAGCACACAGACTGACGGTTGTGTGTGTGCGTGTATGTGTGTGCGTGTGTGTGCGCGTCAGAGTGTGTGTATGTGTGTATATGAGCTGACAGGAGAAGGAAGTGCTAGCACGAGTGTATTCATAACCTGCTCACACATGTGCCAATCCAGACGCACTTTCTCTCACAACACCACAGCCTCGTTTGATTATAGTGCGCCTGTCGTCTCCGTGGACATGTTACTGCTTTGACTAAATGTTCTTTGACTTATATCCAGTTTGCATCCATAAAACGGATGCTTTTTGTTTTGTTTTTTATTTTTTTATTAAACACTACCTTGAAAAATGTGCATTCTTCCTGTGAGCAGACTTGCCTTTCCACAGATGTGACCTGTAACTTGACCTACTAATGTCTTCCACAGAGAGATAAATGTAATGTTGGCCATTTTAGACAAATAAGTTATATCTCCATGGAGACAAGTAAATGCCACTAGAAAAGTTACATAGTACAACTTTAAAGCAGACAGACTGTGCTTGTGTGTGCTCTTCAGTTATAATCTGTTATGTTATAATCTATGTTATAATTTGGACATTTTAAATTGCAATATGTATTTAAAATGACAAAAAACAAGCCCGCTGACTTGGGCTCTAAACATCATCATAGCTGCACATCGCACTAGTGATCAGCAAATAGTTTTCATTTGAACCAAAATGAGAATCCCACATGTATCACCGAAATCACAGTGGAGAAGGAAGTGTGCACGGCACAGTGGGCGGGTACTGTGGTGGTGAAAACAGGAGTGGGCAAAATGGAGTCTTGAAAATAAGTTATTAAAGATGACTCAAACATGCACAAGACAACTAGAACATGGTTCTTTTTTTTTTTGTTGTAAACACAAACTGTATCCTTAACAATCTCCAAATTCTAAGGCTGTGGTCCAGGTCTGAACCTGGTCAGGACACAACACACACACATTTTCATCCTATTTATTAATAATATATGAAAACATTTTACATTTACAGATTTGCCATAGTTACATAGTTTATGGTCTGATTCATGGTTGAGTGTTTTCATAATGAAATATTTGAGCTTTGAACTTTGCTCTTTGAGATTCTCTGAGCTCAGCAGCAGGGGTGGGTGTGGGGCGGGTGCCTCACAGCAGCAGGGGCAGGTGTGGGATGGATGTGTGGCGGGTGCCTCACAGCAGCAGGGGTGGGTGTGGGGCGGGTGCCTCACAGCAGCAGGGGCAGGTGTGGGGTGGGTGCCTCACAGCAGCAGGGGTGGGTGTGGGGCGGGTGTGGGCGGGTGCCTCACAGCAGCAGGGGTGGGTGTGGGGCGGGTGCCTCACAGCAGCAGGGGTGGGTGTGGGGCGGGTGCCTCACAGCAGCAGGGGTGGGTGTGGGGCGGGTGCCTCACAGTAGCAGGGGTGGTGTGGGGCGGGTGTGGGGCGGGTGCCTCACAGCAGCAGGGGTGGGTGTGGGGCGGGTGCCTCACAGTAGCAGGGGTGGGTGTGGGCGGGTGTGGGGTGGGTGTGGGGCGGGTGTGGGGCGGGTGCCTCACAGCAGCAGGGGTGTGTGGTTTGTATTCACAGGTTGTGGAACATTGTCTGGAGTTGGGGTGTTGTTCATCACTGGTCCAGAAGGGGGCACGGCAGGTGGGCATGCTGTCATGTGATTGGGCAGAGTGGGCCAGGGTGCCACCGCAGCCCCACCCACAGGCCCCGCCCACTGAGGACCCACAACCCCCTGCTGTGCCCAGGGAGAGGAGGAGTATGGAGCGCCCCCTGGCTGTGGGGAGAACATGGACAGGATCTGCATGTTGGACAGAGCAGGTTTAGGAGGCTCCACACCTGGACACACAACATGGATACATGACCACAACGCTCTGTGTCGACACACACTTCACATCACACATGTCTTTCTCCATTTCAACACACACACTTCACATCACACATGGTTTTCTTCAGTTCACCCTGGTCACATTCTGCACTGGGCTGAGGTGGGACACACTCTCACTGATGCACTACTTTCATTTATTTGTTTTCATTTGTCAGTTTGTGTGTTTTACAGGTGGGCACAGAGAAACCCATTTCATACACATCCACTTTACACACACACCCACGCACACACGCACACCCACACACGCACACACACACCCACACACCCACACACCCACGCACCCACGCACACACACACACACCACACCACACACACCCCCACACACACACACACACACACACCCACACACACACACACACGCACGCACGCACGCACACACACGCACACACACACCCACACACCCACACACCCACGCACCCACGCACACACACACACACGCACGCACACACACACACACACACACGCACGCACTTTACACACATACACATACACATACACATTGTCTTCTGGTTTCAGAGAATGCAGATCACAGCAATAACTGATCTCACTTCTGCAGTGAGCCCTGGACACACATTTATCTGGCAAACTTCTGACTCATTACATTTGTGAAAAACAGGAACAAAGTTTTCATGTTTGTTAGATTCTGTGACTATGATGAAATCTGATCTAATGTACAAATGTACAGCTTCACCAGACTGTTATTGTGACTCCCCGACACAGGGAGAACATACAAACTCCACACAAACACAGAGAGAACATACAAACTCCACACAAACACAGAGAGAACATACAAACTCCACACAAACACAGAGAGAACATACAAACTCCACACAAACACAGAGAGAACATACAAACTCCACACAAACACAGAGAGAACATACAAACTCCACACAAACACAGAGAGAACATACAAACTCCACACAAACACAGAGAGAACATACAAACTCCACACAGACACAGAGAGAACATGTAAACTCCACACAAACACAGAGAGAACATACAAACTCCACACAGACTTAAAGAGAAGATGCAAATTCCAGTTTCCACACACAAAGTGAGTGTGTGAGCCACTAACTCCTCATTTGCACCAGCTCCGTCGGGTCTGGAGACCTGTGCGTCTGCTGCTCTAACAATCCCAATATGTTCAAATGAAATAAGATGTGACACCAAATCTGGGTGTGTTTAAATGAATAATGGAATTGAACCAGGACTAAAACAGGATTAAACCAGGACTAAACCAGTCTCACTCTGAAGACTAAACCTGGTCTGGTCCCAGTCTCAGTCCTAAAAAGGATTAAACCAGGACTGAACCAGGACTGAACCAGGACTGAACCAGGACTGAACCAGGACTGAACCAGGACAGAGCCAGGACTGAACCAGGACTGAACCAGGACTGAACCAGGACAGAGCCAGGACTGAACCAGGACTGAACCAGGACTGAACCAGGACTGAACCAGGAGTGTCAAGATGGGCCCAGAGGTGCACCCACATAGACTGTCGGGTGATCAGGACTGAGACTGAGACCAGACTGGGACCAGACCAGGACTTAGACCAGGACCAGACCAGGACCAGACCAGGACTGAGCCCGGGACCAGACCAGGACTAGACCGGGATCAGACTGGGACCAGACCAGGACTGAGATCAGTTTAGACCTGGTTTAGACCTGGTTTAGTCACAGTTTAAGTCACAGAAACAGGAAACAGTCATTATCCGTTTTTTCCATTATTCATTTAAACAGAAAATCGAAAACTGAAAAAACTAATCATTACCTGTTTTTTGTTGTTGTTGTTGTTGTTGTTGTTGTTGTTGTTGTTGTTTTTTTCATTTTGGTTTTGGGGACAAATAATGAAGAAAATAGTAGTTTTTTCATTTTCTTATTTTTGGTTTTATTTTGATAAATGGATTACAGGAGTCAGTTTTTGACTGAACCCACAGAGTGTGAATGATTCTGTACCAGCTGTTTAGTCAGTGTTCAAAGGTCTTTACTGTATCAAGACAGAACCTTTCATTCTCTTAAACACAAACTTAGAGCAGAGGAGAGAGGAGTGGAAGATAAGTGGAGAAAGAGAAGGAGAGCACTGGAGGAGAAGGGAGTTCGCCCAGCTGAGACGTGTTTGTGTGTTTGTCAGGTAGGACACACACACACACACACGCACACGCACACGCACACACACACACACACACACACAAGTGTGTTATCTATTAAACATGTAGTCACATGTGCTGTTTCATACAAGTGCCACTCCCTGCATGTATTTCGAAAATATACTACAGTATAATCCCCGCACTCGTCCCTGAAGCACGTGCTCGGAGAGAAATCATCATATGGCACATGCAGGTCTGACATGACACAGTTGGCGTGAGGCGTAAGCCACTGAACAATCAAATGTGGAAATACTATCTCCTGCCCCCGACGTCTTTTCAACTCAGATTTCAAAATGCACCAGTGATGTCTGACCTGCAGAAGCCGGCACAGCAGCATGACACACGTCTGGTTCCATGGGGTCCTTCAGAGGAACACAGAAGATCTCCATCAGCTCAGAGGAGGCTGACGTCTACAAAGAAAGGATGACTCATCATTTTAAACAAAAGAAAAGTGTAAGTTCTGTCATCTCTTCTTAACATGTCACTCTCCTCCATCACCTCCTCAGAATATCCTCCTGTACCTGTATTTGAGGATTTGAGTCAAGACGAGGGCTGAAGACATTCTCCAGAGCAGGTTCCAGAGCAGGCTCCTGACCAGGACATAAACATTTCATGAACATATTTTCAGAGTCAATGAGAAGGTCTGAGGTGGGCTCTTTACCTCAGGTGAAAGTGTGGAGGCTTCTTCTACGACCAGCAAAGCCTGAAGACAAACACACAGACATGTACAGCTAGGGCCAGAAATATCTGGTTCACTCTTGTGTACTACGTAACTTTTCTTGTGAATCATCTGCCTCTTGATTGTCATCACAGAGATGTCATTGGTTTCCCAGGAATGTTCCACAGCGTGGCATTAAAGTAGAACTAAACACTAAATCAAATATACATTTTGCTACTAAACTGC